TGCGGTGGGAAAGAAACAGCAAGTTTTTATGAACAGCCACGGCTAGGTGGAGAACGAATGAAAAACCATAGAGGACCACTTATAGAATGCTCGTGTTGATTCAGTGGTGGCAAAAACCACCAAATCTTTATAATTTATACAGCGAAGCCTGAAACAGGCACCAGCATGTTTGCAATCAATGGTGTATTTAGCATACATTCCCCCTATGCCCGAATACGCTTGTGCCGTATGAGATTCCTTGGCATATGTCTTTAAGTGACAAACATGAAAAAATACAGAACAGGGTGGTAACGTTTGTCACAAGCCATTACTAAATAAAATGACAGTTGTACCAACATGAAGAATGAACTAGAATGGGAATTGCAACCGTTGCGTCGAATCAAACTAATGCTCCTATGTGAAGGGTTTAATGATAAAACTTGCATAAAAAAATGAATGTACTTAACAGTCCTTTTTACACAATAGTAATTGTTTTCAGATTGTAGAATGTCATATCAGATGTAACTTTTATATTATTTCATTTTTGTTAGTTTCATGACCAAATGAAATGACTTAAAAAAGAGAACAAGTGTGCTGTATCAATGAAAGCATGCTTTTTTTTTTTTACAATGTAACCCATCTTCAGCAGCGTCTTCGGGTATAAAAATGTGATTTGCAAGCGGCTTTTGTTTTGTTTGTAATTTACTCCTTTAAGCATCCCTCTCTAGGCGACATAAGAAGTTGTAGTTAGACACTAGAAGTTCTTGCGTGCCCAATGAAAAGCGTTCTACCACGATAATTTTTCAAATTGGTTTTCTAGGAGCCACAAAATGATGAAGCGAACAGGCAAGCTTGAATCACTTGCCTCTCGCACAATGTAGCCATCACAAGCCTAATTTCTTCCCTGCTCTCTTCGGTTCCGGGGCTGGAGGGTCTGGTCTTATGATGCATACGCACCGAGAACATCATGCGTAAACAAGGTCACACGCGAGTGACGTGCCCCAGCCTACTCGTGCATGCACACCATCGATGTTATGTCGTTTAGGCATGTTGTGTATTGCCCGTTTCTGTGGGATGGATCAGTCAGTGTGCGTACTTTTGGAGAGGCTGGCATGGATCATGTATCGGACTGCGATACACGACGTCACTCCGCTTAAGCTGTGGTCAGAAATGACGCACCAAACCCAAGCTAAGCGTTGTCAGGGTTGGTGAAGGCACGATGCACGAACTGCGAGAAGACAAACGCAACTGAAATGGGGTGGTAGCAGTGGTGGTAGTGGTGCTAGTATGTGTGAGTTTACGTGAATAAACCACGATATAGTTATGAGAGATGCCGTAGTGGAGGTCTCCGGAAAATTTGACCATGTGGTGTTCTTTGACATTCACTCATTCGTTTCATCATCTACCGTTTCACCTACATCTAGATGCGGCCACCGCGATCTGAATCGAGCCTGCGACATTCGGTCAGCAGCGGAGAAACCAAGCCACTGGTTCATAGAGGTGGACACGAAACGAAGGCGGATCAGTGTGTAGCATCTCGCGGCCATTGAAAACAAATAAAAATAATAAGCTGACTTTCAGTTTGCGTGTGTTTTATTTTTCTTAGCTTTCATTCATTATACTCATCTTGAAAGGGCAATGCAGACATGAAAAAAAAAAAAAAGACAGAGACAAATAGCGCTGTATTTCTTTCCCCTTTGTCTTTGTGCTTCTCTTTGATTGATTGATATGCGGGGTTTAACGTCCCAAAACCACCATATGATTATGAGAGACGCCGTAGTGAAGGGCTCCGAAAATTTCGACCACCTGGGGTTCTTTAATGTGCGTCCAAATCTGAGTACACGGGCCTACAACATTACCGCCTCCACCTTGCGCTTCCCTTCGAAATTGATATGAAGCAGCTAGACCAAACCAAAGTAATTCTCATTCATGCTATACAACAGAACGCACAAAGTACACATGCCAACTAGAATAATGTCAAATGCAATGCTTAATGATGTACTGCTTAAAATGCAAGATACAATCAAGTCTTTTGTCTGTTTTTCTAAAGATAGCTAGCATTTAACCAAGTTCTGATGAAGAGATTATGGTGAGCGATGTCAGAGAACCAATGTTAACGTAAAGGAGCGACGTAAAAGCAGGACCATTTTTGCTGTACGTCTCTCCTTCCACTTCGCGGCGGACACCCGCGAGAAGGGCAAGGGGCTTTCAGTAGAAATTCAGCCTTTTTCTGCGACATGCAGCGTTGCAAATCTTAAAAAGGCATCATCCTGAGTGCCCAGCGCATCCCTTACGCTTGTCAGCTTGAAATGCTCAAACCTAGTGAGGAGCGCTCTAAGGTGTTCACCGACAGGGGAGAAATTGATCCTACGCGATTAGATTTGGCATCCCTCTCTTCTGGGATATCAGTGGTCTGGTTATTGGCTCCTGCGCTGCCCTTTCCAGCCACGATGAAACAAAAGGGAGAGTGTCGACTGGACAATGGACACTTGATGCACAATGCCAAGTAATATGCGAAATACTGTAATCTGCGAATCGCTTGGCCAAATGCATGCCTATGTTCAATAGTCTTCATGTCATACATAAAAGTCACCGACGTCGTTTTAAATTATTTCAATGTTTGTAGAAATTTGTTGTGCCTATATTAATGGTTTTGAAGGCCTAAAACGCCAAAAACAAACCTGCCTGTCTTTGGTGCCTAAAGGCATTTTTTTTAGTGCCTAAAAATCTGGTCTCTACTTATGAACGCACATGTAATACATTGGTGCACAGTATAGCTACACACATGCCCCAAAAAGTGCACCAACTGGTGACTGTCTGATGTCACTGTCAATATCGGTTTGCAGTTCTGTTGCATGTTCCATTTTTTTTTTATTTCCTACACCGGTAATTGTTCATATGAAGTACGTCTCCGACGTTAATCTTGTCGACAGCTAGTATGCCGGAACTTATAAAACTGAAAGAAACATTTCAAGGCTGTAAGGACCCTAAACTCGTGATTACCTTTACCAAAATAAAAATATATATCTTTTCCCTATTGAAAAAACATATTCAGCCCCTACTCAACACACAAAGGAAGGGGGCGGGGCTCTATATGCCCAATTTGTCTTGTGATGAGGTAGTAATAACAACCAAATCATAATACACCCCACGTTGTCCCAAGAGTGCAGTCAAAACAAGGTTTGCATGCCAGTCTGATTAAAAGGAACCCTTTGTCATACCATGTTACAGAAACCAATTCACGAATGATATATACAAACTATATCAAACTTCAATCGGCCTTATCCGACTTTCATAACTGCATGCAGAGAGACAGCGCAAAATAACAATATCCGTCAAACACTATTTTCCATGCCATGTTGACGTACAGTGTACACTATAAAAGCTATACTGTTGAGTCCCTATTACGAAGACTTTATATTCGGCTTATACACTGGTATTTTCTAGACACTTCGTCACGGTGCGTTGCAACGAGGATGCAGTGCAATCTGTACTCATTTTCTGGCATCATGCCAAATGGCTGCAACACAATGTTGTGACTCATTTGGGATCATCTATCGCGACCCACTTGGGCAACATTCCAGGTTACAAACTCCGGTGATTATGACGGCACACTACGAATCACTGACGAGCATGCTTGGCGGAACTAAGCCCTTGTGTGCTGTCCCTCTAAGAAAAAAAAAAAAATAATCGCGTGTAGGCAGAAAGAAAACAAACACGGGTATTCGACGTCTCGAAGTTGGTCCACACTTTGGACTAACATTCAACAGTTCGTTTACTGCACTTTTTTTTTCCTGCCTTTTTGAATCTTGAAAAAATATACCGCAGGACGTTTCAATGCTATTTACAGATGCAGCACGCGAATACGCCTTCAGGAGAGGCGCAGGAACTGAAGCAATCTCAGCAGCTACGCACAACCACGAAATGCAGGCACACAAACATCAGCAAAACATTCTGCAACGCATGGAAACCTGATCTGAGAGCAACGAACCCTCCTGTACTTGGGAATTTCTTGCCATACCTTGTTCATTCTTTCGCTAAAATAGAGAAAGCTAAATGTTGGCGATGGTCTCGCTATGCTTTGGAACAGCGACGAACTGAAAGCTACATACTATATATGTTAACAAAGCTACGACACGCCCAGATGCACTTAACCAGAACCCAATTGTAGCCCATGTCAAAAAGCAAAAAAAAAAAAAAATCAAGTTGCCTCACTGACGAAAATACCCCACCCGCGCTAAAGTATGCAGAGAGAAGGCGTGCTCTTTCTCGGGGAATCGGCATCCGATAAAGCGAGCCGTGCGCGACAGGGCATCGGCCTAGTCGCTGTTGTGACGGAAGCAGCGCGAGTGGCGACAGGGCCCACACAAAAGTTTGACACGGCGGAACGAGAACGAATACAATACGAAAACAGGACAAACAGTTCTTTACTGCGGACGTATGCGTCGCTTTGCAGGTGCTACCCGCGATTACACACAGAGAAAGAATGAAACCCAAGAAACAGCGGCAGAGACGCAACCATGCCGGAAGTGAAGGTAGAAAGCATGAAATGTTGATCTCGCCTCCGGTTGGGCGTGAGCGGCGCTTTCTCGAATGCTAGAACAGTGGCTCCGTCGGACTATGTGCTGGCGTTTAAACCGTCCACAAGCGTGCAATAACTACCGAGTGTTAACAGATCAAGAAGCAGTGATCGGGACTGTCCACGATAACTCTCCATGTCGAACGGAGGCTCCACACTAGCTAGCGAGATGTCCAAAAGTGTTAGGCCTAGCACACAAGGAGGCATTCCGGCAGCCCAGCTGACTCTCAGTACACTTATTTTTCCAAGATATTTGAGGCCTTCCAGTTCCCTTGAGTGCGTTTATAACGATCCTAAAAGGGGGCCAGAAGTTGCAGATTCCGCTCGACGGAAACTGGCGAAAGTAGAGGGCCCGACTTGACACTTGCGGAACTCCGATACGCTCAATCATTAACAAATTAGGTGAAGGACCAGTTAACGCCGAGAGAAGAGTCTCACATACCTTTAGACTATTGAGGTCGATGTCATCCAGACTGCAGTTTACACTCGGCTGAGTGTGCGCCATGGCGTTGAGCGCAGCGAGAATGCCGATAGGAACAAAAGATCCCAAGCGCCCCTCGGAGCCTTCTCGGAGGCTCCCTTGCCGAACCACGGAAAGGGACTCCGGCCGGCTCGAGCGTAGCTGTGTAACGTCACATTAGTTCTACACAGTTACTCGGGTGAACAGTGTCAAACACGATGTAGTTTCACGATTCTCATTGCAGATGTTCTCACACACCTCACCAACACAACCGGCCGTCAATGCTCGCTCTACATCAACCACAAGCCTGCTGCAATGGCTTCAAGCCTTTCCCCGCCTCCACACTTTGCTTGCGTGACTATTACGACGGCCGTACAAGGTCGCTGTATACTGTACATTGAACAACAGTTTTATAATTAAAGACTCATAAGCGTTTTGTTACAATACATTAATAAATGCGTCAATTTATAAAAGAGTACAAAGAAACTAAAGAGCCTCCGAACTCCACAAACAAAGATAACACTGCACCATGACAGTAGCCGGATACGTGCAACTAATCGGACAACCAAGTTGCACAGCTAGTTTCGGTTTGTGGGCGCGCGCACGTGATTGTGCAGCAGAAAGCTAAACTAGCGTTGTTTAACTTCTGGGTGAAAGCCGTCGCAAAATGTGTTCGAATTCATTACACCGATTAAGATGGGCTTTGGAGAAACAAAGTAAGCTCGTTTGCACGGTTATCACGGGCCTTAAAAGTTATAGAAGTGGTACCGCACCTTTTGTCGTGCACGATTGTGTACGTGCATGCACGAAAACACCTGGAATCGTCCATGTACAGCACGATCAGTCCTTCTTCCTACCAGTCTAACTAAGTGATCTTTTACTGAGTGATTCGGGATCGGTTTTTAAATGCTAAGTATTAGATACTGAAGTCTTTGTAAGCATTGGTGTCGCAGGTGCCGACGACTGTGTCTATAGTAGTCGATCATTTGACGTACTCGATCGTTGTCAAGTGTTTGTTGCGGAATGTTGGCGTGCTCATCTTTGGTTCCAGGTACCGATTGTTGTCGGGGGCAAGTGGTAAGAAAACGGAGGGACCATGCTGGTGGCGGTTATGGTCGCGCGCACAAGCCATGGCACGCGCTTCGCGTGCATCGAGCCTGCTCAGCGACGTCAGCCGTGCCAGCGGGCCAGCAAAAAAGACGACGGCTCGGATCCGCGGGTGAGATCTTTTTCTACTCCCTACGGGCGCCGGGCCTCTCATTAGAAAACGAGAAAGAAAAATCTGTCGTCACCGCATTCTGTAGTCGTTTGGGCGGCAGTCGCTAACCGTCGTTCAAGCAGAAATCGTGCCTCCATCATCTCGATGCCCCGGCTCTTCCATGCTTGTCGACGTGGGCTAGACGGAAGGACTAATAATTTTGCACACCCGCGCATGATTTGCCTGTGCTCCATCGATGAGTTGTAATGAAGTGAGCTTATCCGAAAGTGATCGAATTCGGCTTCTACCTGTTTTTAGTAGGATATACAAGCGTGTTTGTCGCTTTAGACTACGACAAATGCGTCATTAATTTTCCAGACAAGATCGCGACGTTTCGTAAGCGATCACCGAATGCACACGAGACGGCGCCGTGCACACAAGCGCACATATCGCGCATTTCTTAAGCATTTATGGGCGAAAGCGTCAGAATTTAGGGCATGCACTTAAATGAACGACGAATTTCGGCGCGGTATCATATTCATTCGAGATCGACGTGCCATAGTGTTAGTTTTTATCCCGAATGTCCCCAAATTTTCAGGGTCTAGGAAAAAGCTAGCTGAATATGGGAAAGTAATTGGAGGAATCGTATTGAAATGCGAGGTATGCTATTGTTAGCCAACCTGAAAATTTATAGGACAGAGTGCTGGTGAACACATGTGATCACATGAAATTGTGGTTGGTCATGTGGACATAATTTTTTTTAGATTTTAAATAAAAAAAATACAGTGAATTGAATGACGGACAAATGTTAGAAGACATGTAGGTTGTGCATGCATTTGGAAATAAATGAAAGCTCACACTTTTTCGCGAATCATGAAGATGAATAAATGGTCAATTTCACAGTTCCACAGAATATGTGCGATATGAACACATCAGGGTGTCTTGGGCGTTAGATCACTTCTTATATCAAATGTTTTCTCTTTTGTAATTTCATTCCACATACAATAGAGGCCATACCCAGGAATTTATTTCGGGGTGTGCTTATGTGTAGAATGGCTAACTTTGGCAACTGGTAACCGATGTGAAGGTGCGTGAATACTTTTGTATCGCCCAAAAAACTAAGCATGATAAAATTTGGGGAGGAGGGTATTAGAACCCCATCAACTCACTTCCAGTTACAGCCCTGTGTACAATGTGGTGTACACTGATAGAATCAGCACACGATATACTCTATAACACGGGATACACACTTCTTTCTTGTGCACAGACTTTTGCTTTCATTTCCTCATTGAAATTCATATTGCAATTTTGCATTCAACAAAGATTTTTATCTTGATCTGTTCCACTATGTCAAAATTTTCGGTTTAACTAATGGAGTCGTAAACATTATTACACCATTACATTTTTGCAATGACCTTTCACATATTTGCCTACGAGTGCTTTTTCAGGCATTGCATTAATTCATCCATTTGGACATAGCAGTACACACTTAATTAGCATGCACTAAATTATTAAATGTACAGATATCTAACATACTGAACCTTTAGTGCTTGATCACTTTTAAAATATGGTATGGCATATATAACATCTTGAGTTTTTCTGTGCGTGCTACGCGTCATAGCTTAAAAAATGAAGCATCCAGCTTTGCATGCAATTTTTACACTTCTTATACTTGCTCAAGCAAAAACAAATGTTTATAGCCACTGGACCTGCATTATTCATACATTATGAATTTCCATAACTTATAGCTGTCACTCTAATAAATTCTTATTCTATAGAAATTCACCACTTTAAATAAGCTGTCACAGACAAGTCATTTTTTGTCTTGAAGGATGATGTATTAGATCAGCAGCAACTTGGCACAGCTGATTTACAGATTGTACCTCGGTGTCTTGAAGAAAGCAAGTCTGAGCACACCAGCTCTGAGCTGATGCCTTAATATACTTCGTTCTACTCTCTGTAGTATTGAGAACACAGTTCTGGTTCAAAATAGTTTTGATAATGGCTAAATGAATGCTCTGATGCAAATATAAGAAGTTGTGTCTGCAAGTTGACTCTTCCTATTTACCCATTGTGTTGGTGCATTTCACTTCACATTGTTACTTCATCTTAACTGAAAAAACAAGAAAAGTGAATCCCGCATTGTGTGAAGGACAGGATTACCCTGTTACATTGTCCAGTTTACGAGCTGCAAAACTCTTTGCAGTTATCATGCCAGACCGACTTACCTAACTTTTAGTTCGGTCCGTGTTTGTTGAACACCTTGAATTTTGTCAGTTACTTTCCTTGTTATTGTAGTCTTTGTGTTGTAGTCATAAGTAATAAAGTTTATGCCAGACCAAAGTGGCCCCACATTTACTTCTATGCTTGTTGGTTAATCACCTTGAAGAGACACTAGAGTCAAATAACAATTTACAGCTTAGTGAAAGCTCAAGTTTAAAGTGACAATATTATCAACAGTGCCCTATTTAGCGAGAAATTAAGGTGAATGCACGAGAACACATGCACCACCAGGACTAAGAAATTTGCAAAATGATCCCAATGACATACCGCCTACAATTAATCACTAGTAATCGATCTAGCTGCACTAAGTAAAGAACCTCCTGTGCATCAAGAGGTGTAATAAAATGCTACTTAATCGTTTTTATTAGTTTCATGGAAAAAAGAAAAACTACCGGACGTTAGTATAGAGAATAGCGCGAATGGTTCAACTGGACAGGTCATGCCATCTAGTGGGGCACAGTTGAACCAAGCCTGCCATCGCGGAGGCCATAGCACGAAAGAGTTCAATGGTCGTTGTTGCTGCTGTGGATTCCACTACTTTCGTTCTGCTGCTACTGGTGTTGGTGGCACACAGTAAAACCAGGCAACATTGTGCACGGTAGCAGTGACGCGAGACGTCCTGCTTGAGGCAGGTAATTTGAAGTACGTAATTTTATTTTAAAATAAGCTCTTCTTTGGCACAAAGGTAACACTACGAGGTGACTGCTACTTCAACAAACAACATCAACTCAATAGTTGCGTTAGTGTCCCTTTGAATGTTGTAGACTATCTTTACATGTTGTTGTCGTCTCTGTGTTGTAGTCATTAATAAAGTTTTTGATACAAGTGCAAGTGTTCTGGCCTTTACTTGTTAACCGAGATGCGCCTCGAGCTACGACAGATGTACTTTTTCCACTGGCAGACACCTGCTCTCTGGCCGATTCTTCTTCCGGCAAGTGAAGTCTTGTCCTTGTGTGCCACCAGGCCCAGTCTCGAGGCCAGAAGCGGAACTTGGTCTGCCGGGAGACCAATCCCGTTCAAAGCAATCATGGCTATGAATGGTGACAGCATGCAGGTAAAGCTTTACTGATGTTCATACACAGCTAGTGTGATAAAAAACTAGGTCACATAGAATGAGGAAACTGTTCACGTGTTTACATTACTTACAATGCATTTAAAATTTGAAAGTTACGTGTTGAGAGGGTCAGCTAGCAGGGGCGTAGACAGATATGTTTTCGAAGAGGGGCACCTCTTTGAAATGGTCATTTCTCGCACTGCATGCCATGGCAAAGAAAAATGGGGGGGAGGGCATGGGCTTGTTGTCTTACCCTGGCTACTCCACTGTCAGCTAGTGCTATATATGGTCGCTCTCAATAAATTGACATTTCATGCTTGTTTGTTTGGTCTGTCCATATTTATTATGATAAAGTGTGTTACTAAACGTAGTTTAAGAAAAGGAGTGCACAGAAAATTCAGTGCATGTCCTGACAATCCTTTTCTTGTACTACGTTCAGTAATGCGCCGTTTCATCAAAAATTATTTTTTAAAAACTCACCCACTATACCATCTTTAGTCTGTATCTTTACAGAATATCACCGCGAACGAGTATATTGCAGTCAAATGAATGATTATGACGACTATGTCTAGCACTTTTTTATGGCATTCCACCGAATTGCTTAAATAGCTAGTGTGCATGCACTTACTGTGCAGGACTTTGTAATCACACCACCAATGCACCTGATGGACTTCTGCTCAATGCCCGTGCAATACGAGTGCGTGGTAGCACCTATACCCACACCTTATGGGCCTCCGTCTGACACCTCTCAAATGGGTGCGTCAGCCACCACCTTCGTTTCCACCTCCAAATCCTGTGGTAGGGCCAGCACACAACACACGCTCCAAGCGGGCTTCCATGGGGTCGTACATGCGACCCCAGTGCTATGTCTGTGGCAAGAAGTTCGAGCACCCCGTGCACCTGCGTAGACACATGGAGCTCCATGCCCCATTCACGGGGGATGGCCAGTCAATGGCCTCCGGAGACGGACGACAAGATTCCACCGCTGCCGCTGCTGCCCGACGCACCACCTCCACCCCCACCACGAGCGCCATCTCGTCGGAGCTCATCAGGCCGGGGCTCCCATCAGGGAACACTGCACTCCTGCTACATATGCACCAAGAAGTTTAAACAGGTGCATACCTATAGCTACGGTAAAGTTGACTGCTTTGAAGTGGGCATCATTTTTAAATTTGTAGTTCATACACATTTTCTGCTGCATTTATTGGGAATTTTGTACTTCATATTCTGCAGCTTTTTACCTTATTGTCAGGTAATTGGTGCTGGCATGTCGCCGATATCCAAGTGTAGGGGACTTGGGGGAAAAAAAGGTACTATGAGCACGTTCAGGGAAGCTAAGAATGTACTGTGACAAAATTATTGCCAAGAGCATGGCACAAAGTGTAGCGTGCATCTTGCTCTTTCTTTTACATGCAGTTTTGTTAGTACATTACACTTGGAGTACAGAAATTTTCAGGCCCTTCTTGGTTCGGCTTAACTGTTTTACCGGCTAGTTTCACATGCTATTATTTCAGTAATATACACAAAAAAAAACGAAATGGAAGTTGGGTCAGTTCCTTCTTTCTCCCACCCTTGTTACATTGTTCATGTGATGAAGGCACAAAATATAAGTTCTTCAATACTATACAAGAATTTCTCACAAGAACCCTCTCCCCAGAAGATACTCAGTTTTTCAACATCCTTTTTATGCCTACTGCTGCACGATTGCTTTCTTTTCTTGAAGGAAATGTCATGACGATGCAGTGAGAACTTGGGAAAGCGGCTTTAGCGCATGTCGCCATAAAATTAAGAGTAGCAATATTGAGCTTTTTGGTTGCGCTGCCTCCCAGGTGGGCCACCTGAACAACCACGTGCGACTCCACACGGGCGAGAAGCCCTATGAGTGCCAGGTGTGCAAGAAGAAGTTCACGCAGAGCGGCCACCTGTTGAGTCACACACGCATGCACACTAATCAGAGGCCGTATGAGTGCAAGTACTGCAACAAGAGCTTCACCCAGAGCGGCCACCTGAACAACCACGAGAGGCTGCACTCGGGCGAGCGGCCCTACCAGTGCACCGTCTGCTCCAAGCGGTTCACCCAGAGTGGCCACCTGTCCAACCACATGCGCCTCCACTCGGGTGAACGCCCTTTCGAGTGCCAGGTATGTGCCCAAGCAGACAGGGTGACCATCGGTGAAGTTCCCCCCCTAACTATGTGACGATCGGACCTTATCGGAAGTTTAATAAATAATTGTCTGGGTTCTACATCCCAAAACCCTGCCATGATTATGAGAGACGCCGTATCAAAGGGCTCCAGAAATTTGTACCTTCTATTGTTTCCTAATTTGCATCTAAATCTAAGCACACAGGCCTCTGGCCATCCATATATGGCCACCGCAACTGGGTTTTAGTCGCAAGACCTTATGATCGGCCGGCAGTGGAGTATCATAACCACTAGACAACCGTGGGAGGTTTTTCGGAAGCTTGGGGAGCGTACAGCTAAGATCGTCAAACACAGTAGCCAGATAAAACTGAACTCGGGGCGCTGCCAAAAAGTAATAAATTGTGAAATGTGGCACATTTCTGAAAATTTTCGTTATCTCTTGTGGAACATAGGGGGCAGGGCACCCGTCTTGCTCGTGCACATTCTCTCTTTCTCTCTCTCTATATATATTGAGAGAGAGACTTGTAGAAGATATTAAGAAGACAATAAGCAATTGTCTGTTCCATAAAACAAAACTTTCATTTTTTTTTATGCATACATCCCATACTTACTTAGCACAAGAGCCGTGCAAGAGCATGCAATTTTCGTCACCCTATGACTTGATAGCTTAAAATAGCTGCGAGACAGGATGGCGAACAGTCTGCTGACAATGGTTGAGAACCTAGATCAGGCTCTTAAAAAATATCTCAGGCCAGTGCCAAGAGGCGGGGGGGGGGGGGGGGGGGGAACCTCTGCCTCCCATGATGCAGCCCAGAGGAGGCCCGAGCCCCTCAGCTTCCCCCTGTTCTCTCCGCCTATGCGTGAAACAAAAACACTCGGTGCAGGACTGCCCCGTGCATTTGCAGAATTGTCGCCACATTAAGGGCTATTGTTGCATGTTCCACAGGGATACAAAAATTCTAAAAAAGGTCCCGCACTTCACAATTTATTTTTTGGCAATGACGTTAGCGGCGAGCACTTCACACTTCCAAAAAAGTGAGCTAGGCACATGTGGCGGTGATGAATTGTGGTTTGGTATAATATCACTTTGTTTACACAAATATGTATTTGGCATTCAACTTGCAACATTACTCTTCCTTTCAGAGGCGACAAAATATTTGAAGAGAAAATTTTCTGCCAACGGTTAAAGAAAATTATTACACTCTGTCTCTCTATGCTGTGAGAATGAAGAAAAAAGATGGAGGAAAAGCTTATAGAGGCCTGCAACATTAAATTGTGGTTCATGCTGCACGCTGCAATTGTTAACAATGAATTCATCCATTTGAAACGTTATGCACATAAATACTCAAATGCGAGGTATCGTGAAATAAATTTTGAGCATTTCGTATTTATTTACCTAGTCTTGGTAAGCTGCAGTTTATAGATAAAAATTTGATGAACACATTCATTTCATGCGAGATATCATCATATAAATTTTGGACATTTAGTATTCACCAAGTCATGGTAAGCTGCAGTTTCTAGGTCAAAATATGATGAAAACATTCACATGAAAATAATGTGCTATATTTCTTGCCAGCAAAGCATTTATCTCTTTGTTACAGTAGTCAGCAATTACATCATAAAAATGACCTTGTTTCCATTTCACAATATTTTATGCAGATAAATATTTTAGCCTTTTTCTTGATCCGTTAACGTGACTGTTGAATGTTACTTATGCTTCCAAGTTAAATTCATTTAAACTGATAGATACTTGGGGTTTAATGTCCCAATACCACCATATGATTATGAGAGATGCCGTTGTGGAGGGCTCCAAGAATTTCGACTACCTGGGGTTCCTTAATGTGCACTAAAATCTGAGCACACAGGCCTGCAGCATTTTCGCCTATCTCGAAATTGCAGCCACCGCTGCCAGTATTTTCTATCCAGCAACCTGCAGGTCAGCAGCCGAGTACCATAGCCACTAGAGCACCGCTGCACTTTTTTACTGCTTTTTCATGTAATATAAGCCGATGACAATACTGTGTGTTTGGACACGTCCAACAGGTGTGCACCAAGACCTTCACTCAGAGTGGGCACCTGAACAACCACATGCGCCTTCACACTGGTGGACGCCCGCACGCATGCCCGGTGTGCCAGAAGCGCTTCACCCAGACGGGCCACCTGAGCAACCACATGCGCATGCACACGGGCGAGCGCCCTTATGACTGCCTCATTTGTGACAAGGCCTTCGCTCAGAGTGGACACTTGGCCAGCCACCTGCGCTCGCACCAAGGTAATGGCTGACAATTGTGCATGTCTGCCAACATAGGAACATTTGAAACTGGGCTTGCATAACACGGAAAAACAGGAGATGCGGTAATGGCATGCTTTTCTATTTCTGTTTTGTGCTATGTATACGCCCATTGTGGAATACTAACAGTGATTTACCTCATGACGTAGTGCAGACACAATGCATCAGCAGCAAACTTTGAATCATGCAAACTCGCGAGAAACCCAGTTCCTTTGATCATAGTGGCTTTTTTTCAGTGACGTTGCTGTTGATGCTTTAGCCTATTCTTTTCGGTACTTTACAGAATGAACGAGAAAGTTTTCTTACTTTGCTATTAGAAAACATGCGATGGCAAAACTGGCAACTTTTGCGGAAAATTTTGGCACAAAAAGGAACTTAATTATCACACAGTTTGATGAAATGATGTAAAATCATTCAGTTGGCTCAGCAGAAGACTCTAGATTAATTTCGATCATGTGGAAACTTTGAGATGCAGCAAAATTCAAGTACAAGACTGTTTTTGCGTTGAGGCCCCACCAAAGCGAGACTGCAGTGGCCACCAATCGAACTCATGCCCTCGTACTCAGAAAAGCAACACCTCAGCCGTTGAGCTACCCTGGCAGGTATCCTTGTCAATAAAGGTCCAGCATGAGAAGCTGGAATGATCAGCTTGACATGCTTTGCTGTCGAAAACACATAGCTGTGGCCCAATAAACCATCGTCGTCTTCCCACAGGTCTCACCCTCGGTGCATCGAGCACATCCTGCACGGGACGACTAGGCGGCATTCCACCTCCGCCGCGGCCAGCACCGCACATAATCAAGTTGACTCCAGCCGGTCAGGAAGAGGAACAAGAACAACAGGATGAGAAAAAAAAACCCAAAGAAGAGCAACAAGAAGAGCAACCGCAGCAGATGTTGCCAGATTTGTCGAAAAATGAGCCTTCAGACGACACCCAGCACAGCGGAGGTTGGAACCCCAGCGGACGGAGTACAGGCATACAGATGGCCTGCAGGGCTTCAGTGGCACTGCCGCAGGAGAGCATGCCAATTTTAGAGCCAGCATTGGCTTCCATGATTGATAAGCAGCAGGCCGGGATGCCAAGTAACGTGCCGAACGACGTGGTGGTGGTGGAAACGCATGCCAGTTTGCCACACAAGATGCAAGTCGAGGCTCCCAAGGTTCCCCGCCAACACGGCAGGCTGGCCATGCAGCCTCGAGAAGTCGCAAACATGCAAGCGCGCATGGAAATGGCCATGCGTGCAAACATCCCAGCTGAAATGCAGAACAGAGTGCAGGCGGAGTTGGACCCGCACCTAGGTTGCCCACTAGACCTGACACAAGACCTGAGGTACCACTTAGAGTCTGATCCGCCTCTCTACCCACGATACAACTCGGACACAGACAGTGACGACAGTGACGACAGCGTCACGGTGACAGATCCACAGACCCTCTACGACATGATGAGCATGTCTAGCACCAGCCTAGGAACTTGATGACAACTTACAGCAGGAAAGAAGCTAAACAAGACAAACAAGTGAAGGCGTTTATAAAGAAGCTGAGGCAGCAGTGGAGCTTGACTTTGCAGATGGACGCAGGCTTCCCTGGACTGAAAAACATTGTTTAGCATTTTGACATTTTACATGTTGCTTGTGTTTGTTTTTTTCATTATACACAAATAAAACCCAATAGCTGTTTTTTTTATGTACGTTCACTATTATTTATGTTAGGTGGCACTTTCAAAAAATTATCAGCCAGTCCGAAAAAAATTCTGGGAATATACTGAATTTATGCACGAGCAAGCAAGTGCTATATCAAAATATAGCTACTTTTTTTTACATCAGTAGGTTGACCAGAAGCATTTTTTGGAGGTAAATGACTAATATTGCATGCTATATAAACTATACCATCATATCAAGGTATTTCTAACCGAGTGCAAATATGTACATACAGGCAAATTCATGCTTTTCACCCATACATATCAGGTTGCATGAATTGCACTCATGCAACTCCATTTTCCTACCAAATACAAGTGCATACTTACACCATCACCCATAGTTAATATCTTTAAAATGCTAATATTTACAACAGAAGTTATGTTCAACAACTGAGTTGTACAGTCACTAATGCCATTTTTTTTTGTTTGCTTTGCTTTTAGCCCTCCAGGAGCAGTAAAATATAGCAGTGGGGCCAGAGTGCCTAGAATGTCGCTAACCTCATCTAATGAGATTATAAGTTACCAAACAAACTGTAGATCTATGCTAACAATCATATCCGCATAGTATCATAAGAAATCTCTATCTGGCGTGAAAAGAGATGAAATTTTGAACAGAATCTGTTATGCTCTTCCGAAGAAGGCTGCATGCGTTCATTCGCATTGGTGGCACCGTTCACATTTCTAGTTGCAGTGTGTGACTTCATTAACAAATTTAATTGAAAAGATACAAAGCTTGAACTCAATAAAAAGTGCAAGAGACTATGTGATGAGGAGTTTGTGATGAGGGGTTCGTGATGTAAGGGTGACGTAGTACGTCTGGCTTCAGTAGAAAAGAAGGCAAGAAAGTCACTATACAAAGAAGGAAGACTTCCAATGCTGGCACTGATGGTCAACTCCTGACAGCTGGTCACATAACATTTAAATTTCCTCAATCTCTTCTCATAAAGGACAAATCGGAAAATTTCTGGAGGAAGTACAATTTCCATGCACTGCCTCACACCTTTTGCAATTTAAATGAATGAACCTGTCGCAAATCACTAGAGATGTTTCTAGAGTCATTAGCACCCTTATTTGCAATATGGAATATGGTAAAGAGCAACTTTAGGTCAATGATTGCACAACTAGTCAGTACTTATAGCTGCTGTAAGTGCTCACAGCTCCATGTAAAACTCGGATAGGCGTCAGCGCGAATTTGACGAAGACAAAGGAGACAGACGAAAAACAGAATTTGTCTTCGTCAAATTCGCACTGAAGCCTATCCGGGTACCAACTCGTCAAAGTCAAGGTGCTATTCATGTAAAACCCTTCCTGTGGGCCACCAACAGACTGAAAAGAAGGGAGACAAAAGATATAAAGAAAGCATTATGAAAGAACTAAAATTCTAGCATTGCTACATGCTAGCACGTTATTTTTACAAGCCCTTACTTAAAATACTACTTCTTATCTAAGAACCGTATCACACCGGATTGACAAACTTTACTAAAGCATTATTGTGATATTGCTTTCTTGGCTTTTGACAGAAGGATACACGCGATCAAAAATATTTTCTTCATAGTAAGCAGCATTTATTATGCGACTAATCGTCTTCATCTTCTTCATCTGCGCCATCACTTTCCTTTTTCTCCTTTTTCTTCATATCCCCGGCAGCCTTGGTGTTCTCTTCAGGTCCTTGAATGAACTCACCCTTTCGCATAAACCAGTCTTGGAAGCTCCCAGCATAGCACTTTGATTCCTGTTGGAAGGTGACACAAAAGCGTACACAAGTTATGAACCTATGGAAGGCAGAGGGCCCTCTACAGTGGAGCGTTGCTCACCAGTACTGATCACTATAAAAAATGATTCTATTGTGTTGTAAAGATGTGTGTGTTTATACCACTATAACGAGCCAGTTGTAAGCATAGGATCCTTCCTACATTACGAAAAACTGAACGTAAAATTGAGATAAGAACCTAGATAAAATGTGCATACATTATATATTAGCATGTACTCTTTTGTCATGTGCCAAATGCACAGACTTTCCTTGTCAATCTATTGCATTGTCGACATAATGCTGATGGAAGCTGCTGTCACTATCTTGCTCTTCAAGCTTCACCACTGTTGGCTCACATGTCAAGAAACTTTGGACTGGTTTGAAAAACGGCAGTGGCATAGCGCCAGGGAAGTGGTTTGGGAGATTCAAGCCTCCCTTGAAATTTTTACATTTTGTATGTTTGATCACACACATACAAACATAAGTACGATCAAGCACACATAATAAATGGAAGTTGACCCCCCCCCCCCCTGGTGAGTGAGTGAGCGAAACAATTTTATGACGTCCACAATAGATGTGACGTCGAAAAATATTTTTTGCTGCACACCTGCAACACCCATCAAAAAGGGGTTCTGAATGAGTAGATTTAAGTATACTATGTGGTAGAAAACACTGACCGGAAAAAGACAAGGGCAAGCGTAGCATGTCCTTGTCTTTTTCTTGACCATGTCTTTTTCCTGTCCCTGTTTTCTACCGCGTAGTATACTTAAATTATGTATCACCAACTGGCCTAATTGTCCACTTTGAATGAGTAGGCTTGTCTTTGGGCAAGCGTAGCATGTCCTTGTCTTTTTCTTGACCATGTCTTTTTCCTGTCCCTGTTTTCTACCGCGTAGTATACTTAAATTATGTATCACCAACTGGCCTAATTGTCCACTTTGAATGAGTAGGCTTGTCTTTGGGAACACTGGTACAAAGAGTTGTGACTACAGCTAGGCCTTTGCTGTTTAAAAGCTAAAGTACATCAGAGTTCAACTACACAAGCATTTTCACACCACAGTCAGAATGTTGCCGTGGCAGCTAAAGATCAAACCTGCAATCAGTGGTGACAGGGAAGCATCGCCACAGTAGTAAAAAGCAATTACTAGTGTGGTGCCAATAGTTTATTCATCACTGCTCTGTCCAATTATATTTCTAGTGTTTTGATTGCTTATATTAAAACAAGCCATTTAGATTGCTAGCTTGCCATTCTAAACTTAGCATATTACTACAAAAAAAAAAAGACTTCTTCAATTGATGCAATCACATTTTAGTATACTTATTCCGGCCCCGCCGCGGTGGTCTAGTGACTAAGGTACTCGACTGCTGACCCGCTGGTCCCGGGATCGAATCCCAGCTGCGGCAGCTGTATTTCCAATTGAGGCAAAAATGTTGCAGGCCTGTGTGCTCAGATTTGGGTGCACGTTAAAGAACCTCGGGTGGTCGAAATTTTTGGAGCCCTCCATTACGGCGTCTCTCATAATCATATACGTAGTGGTTTTGGGATGTTAAACCCCACATATCAATCAGTATACTTATTCCATCTGCCTGATGTCCTGCATGCAACCAACTACTGCTTCACATCATCATAACCATTGCAAGTCAGAGGATAGCTTATGTTCATACATCAAAGGCATGTATAATAAAATTTGGCTACATTTAATGGCTTTTATTACTCACTCATCTTGTCAGAGCAAGAACATTGTTAACATAAAAGTGTTTTATGCAGGGGTCCACCACGACTTCAGTCACTTATATCTATCATGGAAATGACCATGAAAAAATGCATGTGATTAGATGGCAAACGAAAAAGTTTTATCAACTGGAGTTGAACCCATGAACCCTCAATCAGCAACAATAGATGTCAGGCACGCTATCCAATGTACTATGGTCACACATTCTGGAGGTTTTAGAAAGGCGCCTTTTACATCTCACACTTTTCTCACTTTTCTACATCTCGCACAGTAGTCTTGGTTGGCGGGGTGGTGTCAGCCTCTGGGAGCGGTAAATCTAATTAATTTATCGTTACTGTGGCCTCCCCGAAAAGCTCCTGCAATGCGTCCGCCCCATTTGACGAGTTGGAAAGGTGCAGTTTGGCTAACGCCTTAACGCACCGCAAGGTGGCCACAACGTAAATATCGGCCTTGATTGTAGCATCCATCCATCGATTCCCAAATTATCTATGCGGCACACTCTTGCCTTGCCTGGTTGTGACACCGTGTTCCCCGCTTACACTTGCCCCAAGAAAAGTCGGGGCCAGGCTACATGGGGCCAGGACGCACGTTGAATTCTCTTGCAGTTAGGCCGTCATGTTCAAGAATTCTTGAACATTCTTTGGGATGGCGACCTTAGTTCAAGGTCTGCATTCAGCTCTCATGTCAATGTACAGTAAAAATTAGACTCCCTTCTGTAAGAATACGTTTTACCTGTGTGTTAAACCGATTGCTATGACGGAGAGATTAACTTTTTTTGTTGTTAAAAAAGGCACATAGATCTGCCTAAATACATATGGCCATAATGTGTTCCAACTAGTAGGCATGTCATGATGACTTCTATATGCTTCTTTGCATAAGGCACCTCATCTGCTCAATATCCATAAACTAATCAAGACACATCTTAGGCTCACTTGTGATAGGTGCCCAGTTCTTCTAGCTTCTCTGCGGCAATCGCTGCCCTTCTTCCGGAGCGGCAGCTAAAGATGATGTCTTTTTTCGGGTCGGGCTTCTCCACGTGGTAACGGTTCTTGAAATCTTCAGGGTGCATCCCAAATGCTTCCTGCACATCTTTCACTGCAATAACCATAGCAATAGTAAAAGTAAAATGCACAGACAAAGTGAACTCAATAAACATATGGGAAAATTTATAAGAACTTGCTGATTCAATATCTGGTCCATTAACTACAGTGAAGAAACCTGATGAAAACTTCTGAAACATTAAAAAGACCCTTCTTGGCACCAGAATATGCACGGTAGGCCAGGAAAAGTGAGGGAAAAAAAAGGAAGGGTAGCTTGGTGGTGCTGCGCTGGTCAAGTTCCCAACTAGATCACTCAAAAGTGACGTGTTTCAGTGGCATTTACAGGGGCCCATATAATTCTTTAATGGTTATAATGGCAATAAAGGAGCCTGAGGTTTAGTCTGGCAAATTTCAGGAGCCTTTAGTGAGCAAATGCGGCAAAAAAAAGCTAGTAGTGGTAGTAGTAGTAGTAGTAGTAATAATCTCAGGTGGTGAAAATTTGTGACGCCCTTTGCCATGTTGTGCCTCATGTTAATAACATGATATTGGCACATATAACCCCTGAAATAATAATAATAATAATAATAATAATAATAATAATAATAATAATAATAATAATAATAATAATAATAATAATAATAATTTTGGGGGTTTTATGTGCCAATACCATGTTATTATTAATATGAGGCACAACATGGCGAAGGTCTTCACAAATTTCCACCACCTGAGATTCGTGCACCTAAATAAAAATACACGGACATATCACATTCCACCTTCATTAAAATGCGACCGCTGCAGCCAGTGAGAAATCAACGCCTTTTGGCTAACTATCATAACACTGCAATTGCTAAACTTGCACTTGAACGTGCACACGCACATCACGCAGTGATCTGGAACACGAACGAATACCTTGAAATCTATGACATCACACTGCATAGTGTGCTTTATTGCCCCTGTGAACTTCTTTACCCGTGCTTGGAGCCATGAACATGAGCGTTCAAATTGCCGATGGTTCACAAAGACGCACAAATCAACCAGGCTAATACACAGCTGTCATTGCAAACCAACAGCATTGTGCTGCACTAGTGGCGTAAATTATCGGCATTGCTACAATTGTTTACACGTTGATTGTTTAAGCACTTTGTCAAGAAAACTCACTGAACACGGGAACGGGTACACGGCAACGTGGTCAAATGAAGCACGTAACAATGTTGCTACCATTTTCCGGCACCGATACTATGCAAAAGCATTTTTGTATACCAGAACACTAAAAATGCTGAAACTATCTATCACTGGCATTAAGAAAGAAGGGGAAAATTAAGGTGCTAATTTTTCTTGGTCAAGTACATTAATGAGAAATAACAAATAATGCCATGGAAAGTAAGAGGGATGCTATTTCTAGTTATTACTATATAGATGTGCAGAAAGTGGAGCGGATAAAAAGATAACTTGCCACCTGCAGGGCTGTGGGTAGGGCACAGCCAAAGCATGTGTTCGAAATTGCAATAGGGATGGTTGCAAAGGGAGTAAAAATGCCCGAGAGGATTGGCAGGAAGCCCTCAAGAGCAACGAATACAAGCAGCAACTATAGGCGGTCAAAAGGGCTTGGGATATCGCTACAAGCCTTCGGCCGCCAGCGCCATCCTGGGCGGAGCCTCCAGTCTGAATTAAGGGTCCGAATGGCCCCTTCTCAGCCTCCTCAGGATATGTTTATTAAAGTCAATCTCACTCACTCTGCCACCTGCAGGCACCGAACCTGCAATCTTCAAATTGCACGTCCAATTCTCTACCGATTGAGCTAAAGCGGTCGTCACCCTCCATCCACTTCATTGGGTATAACCTGTGCATTGAAACCTGGGTCGGCACTGACCGTAGCTATGACGGCGCGAGAAGAACACTTCCATTTTCTACCGTCTGTTGGCATCGTGCCCCGCAATACTTCTTCAGTCTAAACTGGTTTAGTGTTTCCTTGCAGTGTCTCCATAATTTAATCGATTGTGTACCTTTTCATCATTATAAATTAAGAAGCTTGATAGCGACACATCAATAGGTCATAAAGGCAAAATGAACTTTCACAAATGCAGAACTTCAGTACCAGTTGGAGAGAGGGGGCGTATTACAGTATAGTGCAACAGATGCTGCAGATGGGCTTTCTTTACTATCCAGCAAAAACAACAAAAAAAAGGATGTATAATCAAGTATAGTTGTATGAAAAAGTTGAATAGGTAAACATTTCAAAACAACCTTTACAGTGTTCGCAAGAAAACAATTTTTTTTTCACTACATTGCCTCACGAATTTCAGATATGGCATTAAGATTCTTTTCATGATTGAATAAAACACTTACTGTGCATTTACGCACACATATGCTTGACAGATTCATATAGCAGTCGAAGCGTTGTAATATATGTGTTCTGTGGCAATAGACAATAACGGAACCTCTTTTCCTTCAGTTCATAGTACCACATATGCCAGTTCTAGTCTGTGTTTCTAAAGGGGGGGAGGGGCAAAGGGTTAACGATCAATTTTACTAGCTTCATTCTGTCTTACAATAGTACTTCTTTCCTGAAATGAACTCTGCACAAAGCAACTTTCTCATTTTGATTATGACAGATTTACTTTAATTGATTCAGTCAATAATTTGGACGGCGGCACAAAGAATCACATGGACGACGAAAAATCAAGATGAGGCACAGCACCGGCACTGTGTCCTGTCTTGATGATTCAAAATTCATGTGGCTTTTTTGCACTACTGTCTGATTTATTCAACGAGCCAACCAGCCTGTCCTTCCGAGCTCAACCAATGCACAGTGAACTCTGGAGTGACTAATTCATACATTAAATAGGAAACATATGCTTTTGTGATGAAGTTATTCACAGCTAAATGACTAAAGTAACGGTCTGGTAACTAAATAGAAAAGCTTACATAACACTTGATCTTAGAACAAGAAACAGATGATAGATATTTTGTACTGATCAGCATTTTCAAAATATCGTAATTAAAATCAAGCATAACAATCCAAATATGTGTGCAAGTTGCGACATTAATTTTATTGCACAAATAGCTAAAAAATTCACAGTAGACGGTCACTGCCAGGTAATTTCCAACTCATATGCAAACTATTAAGAGAGGTTATGAAGCTGAGGATTAATATGTTTATGATTACAGTACTACTGATGGTCCCAGAGAGATACTTTTTTATTAGTGAAATTATGTCCGAGTATTTGCAAAACTTCACAACCAATCTGCGGAATATTTGCACGCTCTACTAAATACTAACATGCACTACACACTTGCTCTATTGTTGTGTACGAGTCCACAACTACAAAAACATTCGTGTTTTCTTTTGTGTCTACAAACAGGGGCAGATTATCCAGGGTTTAAGGGTTCAGATGAACCGGGCCCTCTGATTTTAGGGGGCCCCCAGAGGGCCAGAAAAAATGGCTGACTTTGTTCTTTTGTTCAAAAAATTTAGCCCTCCTTTCTGGGTTCTCCTGATAGAAACGGATTATCTATTTCAATAATCAAAATACATGGCTTCTAAGAGGTAGTTCATTGCATAACGTGCATAACCTTCAAGTCAGCTCACAGTTCTGCAATCTGTAATAAAAGCCTTCTACTCGCCCAAGACCATGCACCGTGTAGAGGGAAAGAGCTGGCTGATCCAGCAGATGGACACACAGAGTAGCCTGATGAGGATTTTAGCAGCTACGGTCCAACACGCAATGCGAAGGTGCATAGAAAATGGTTCCTGTTTGAAATATCCTTTAATGCGCTGAATGAAAATAACCAGTATCAAGCTGACGCATAGGTATGCTATAGTATGGTTCCATTATAGTGTAAACAATCCACCATGAAATATTTGTATGGTACGAAACCTTCCCGATTATGCTAGGACTCCGAAGGAGTAATTGTTGATTCTTCACTTCTGGCATTACCGTTCTGTTTTAATTCCTGCTTGGTGGTTATGTAGGTAAACTTAAAAGACCATCACTTGGTAAAGATTGTGCACAGAAAATATCTACAAGATATACTTGCTATCTGACTGCCAGCAGACCCTCACTGCAATTGCTTGAGCATTGTGGTGGGGGTCTTAGAGACTTAGAATAAATATGGCTAGTGTTCTTTGCAGGTAAATCTAGGAAGCATCAAGTCTCAAGCATGACCAGATGACAAGGCTAGAAAGAAAGGGGGTGGGGCGAGGAGCCCCCTTATTTTCTTGAACTGGGCCCTCCGAACTGTTAATCCGGCCCCATCTACAAATCCATCCCTAAGCTGCAGTGCTATTATCCAAGACATACTGGAGTGTGCATCTCATTTACAAAAGAATAAAAGAGAACATAAAAAAAGACTTGCAAGGAATGTTGATAAAGCCTTTGACTCTGCCATCATCGATGAGCTCCTGGGGTTCACGAACATCAATCACGGCTCCTTTCTTGCCATGATGTTTTAAAACATCCTGCACTTGCTCAAAGGTAACCTCTGGAAAGCGAGCCTTTACTTCAGTCATCTCTGGGGCTAAAAAAAGAAACAAAGAGATAACAGTTGATAATCAATGATAAAGTCTATAATTATATGGAAACACTCAAAATAATGAGCAGAAGATATATGAAGTTCAGCTCGAGTAACTTTTTTTTAGTCATGTAGGCAAGGTGAATAGTGCCAAGTGTAAGGATGTAAGGATGAAATTTATTTGAGCAGGGCAATAGCATCGGTAAACATAAAATCTCTTTTTCTAAAATTTAGAAAAAAATATGCTATCCATGAATTTAGAAGGGGACCATGCAACCCAATTGATGATGTGTGGTGCTTATATGGCACAATTAAGGGCAAAATTGATGGCCAAAGAGCGCCATTTCAGTCCATACAACCCAATTAATCAAACAAGGAAACAATTTAACAAACCAACAATCACGCGTTATCTTTACACGGTTGGTTACTGGGTACAAATTATACAGCCAAGAGGTTCAGAAGTACAAGGCCGCAGCGAGACCCCCAAGTTATGCACATTTTATTGCACTTTTGCTTACAACTGCTAAGGCATCCTAAATCTTGTGACATTGCTACAGAGTTCGCCTAATACCACACGTTGGTATTAATTCAAAACACGGTGCATGCTCCAAACCGTGCTCTCGCGACGCCCTCACCTGAATGCTTGGTCCTCGGAACTCTGTGCGGCCTTTTGATGAGACGCTGGTGCGGCGCACCATCAGCCAGCTGCAAACAGGGTAGGGACACGAGACAGAGCATTAACAAAATTGCACACCGCATTTTGATCGTTAACTCCGGCCTGAGAAGCTGCGGCAATGCTGTGATAACGTCAGATACGCATAAGGCTGCGAACGCGCTCTACACGCATCCTTTATGCACGGTTGTCTTTCTCTTCTACACAACCTTCCTGTTGCCACCAGTTGGTGCACGCGCGTGCCAGCAGAGAACATGGGAACCGGAAAAACAGGAAATTTCTGGCGAAAACGTTTCGCTGGTTGCGCGATCGGCCCACAAAAAACCCTTCGTAGGATCACAAGAAATCGAAATGTTGTGTAAGTTAGCTAAAGAACAGGCGTATCGTTTCTCGATACTCACCGGCTACGGTCGAGAGACTTCTCCGTCCTTAAAGATATCGATCGACAGAGGATTTTCCGACCCACTCAAGAATACATCCAAAGAGCTATCTCCAGGTCGTAGCGACCTTGAACGGCGACTGTACCAACGGTGGCCGAAAAGCGTCGGTTGCGTGGTTGTGTTGTCATGGTGACTGCTCTCGCGTCACCCACGTGCTCGTTACATCCGCAACAAAAGCTTTACGATTAGCCACTGTTAAACTAGCAGATCATCAGAATCGCAACATCGCCGCCGCTCTTTAGTGTTCGAAACACAAGGATACACCAAGTAAAGTTACACGGTAAGACACTGTTGGTTTGACCATAGCTTCCTGGTTTGATGCTTTTGTTTTGGTTTCACTGCGATTATTGTTTTATTTCACCGCCGTGGTTTCAGCGGTTTCAGTTTCTATTCGTCATTTTTTTTTCGCTCATACGTTCGTAATTTATCGCTGGTATGCTACTATTAGCATAATATAACTGCTAATTGAAAATATTTATCTAAAATATTTCTTTTGCTATTGTTGTCTCCTCTAAAAATGCAAAAAACTGACTTAAATATATTTTAATTTTTTTTAGCTATAACAGAGACCTGTTGTGTCGAATCAGCCATGTGCTGAGATACGGCAATGACTAACACTGTTGCACTCGCGAGCAGACGAAAGTTGCTGCAGTGGTGGTGATTGCGGTACCAACTGCCTGTACCAACGTGGTAACGTTGGCTGTACCGTCGGGTCTGCAAATACCTAATAGTTGTGTGGTGTTCTGCGCCTCTGTGCATCGCGAAGCCTGGCCAGCGGTTCGTAACGTGTTCGTGTTAGTTAGCTTGCCGTGTCATCGGCCCAGTGCATGTGATACTTTGTTTTAATTTCCGCAAAACAAGTCAATCGGTGCTGCGTTCTGAAGAAACATGCAGTCGAAGTATCAACGGCATCAGCTGCCGTCATTGTTGACGAACAGCGACTCAAAAATGCACCGGGGAAGATATTGCTGCGTGATTTTAAAAGGGTGCTATGTGTTATGCGCGGGAAAAGTATTACTTACATCGGCTGAATTGGAGTACGTAAATACAGCGCGCGATAAGAAATAAAGACAATTTAAAGTCCTCAGAATAGAAGGAAACGCTGTCATGATAATAATCGTGGTGCCGTCATGAGCAGCACTTTCATTTGAAGTGCGGGTCTACTCGCTCATCTCAATTAGTTGAGAGAAAGAAAACGAAGGTATGAACTGCTTTAAACGGGGCTGAAATTCTGCCGTGATGGCTGTTCATTTTCAACTGAGAAATTTGATTCAATGTGCAAGGTGTGGCACGCGTCGTGTATGCAGAACTGGTGAATGCGTGCTGTTTTCTTGTGACCCTAACCACAGCGAGCGAGCAACAAGAACAAAACAATCGCCTTTTACTTCCCATTTTTGTTTTCGTTTAAACATATGCTTACCAGCAGGTACATACTACAAGTCGGTGTAGCTTATGTGTTCTCTGAGCTTTAGTTTGTTTGGCACACATGTGTTCACATTAAATAATTGCCAGCTATCCAGCCAGACAAGAAACAGTGCTGCAGAGAAGAAACAAAACAGTTCACGCATGCCAACTGCTAGTGCTGTACTATTTACAGTGAATCTGAATAAGTGCTTGCAGTGTAAAGTACTGTCTATATGTAAAGGTTTAATAGCAGCGGTATTGTGCAAACACTTAAAAATATATATATATTGCATTGTAAGTCCTGCTCTTCGCTTATAAGCAGTATTCTATACTATTATACATATGGTGCATCACCTTTGTCTGGCAAGACAATTACTTTTGGCTCTATAGCGAGTGTTTTTTGTTGTCCACAAGCACTAGTATGTGTAAGGTTGAAGTAGAGAGACATAAATTGAAAAACATATCAAGCTATTTTTTGTTGGAATAAGGGCTCATTTCTTCATGAGTCATCATCTTTAAAGCTGCATTGTGGGCTATATTGTAAACAGTGCTGCAAGGGCCATCACTACTGAAATTTAACATTGAAAAATGTGCCCTTGAGTTCTCGTATGAAAAGTTAGTGGTGTGGCATCAGCCGCATCACACATGACTTGATGGAGCAATGAATCTTGTACTTTTTATCTTGGAATATGTGGTGCACTATGAGCATCAAATGAAACCCAAACAGCAGCAAGTCACAATTGAAAGCACAATTGACAGCCCACAATTGAATCTTGTTCAGCAGCTTTGCGCATATATGCGTGCCTGTTCGTAGTGATAAGTGGACGGCGTGCACTATACCATCGCGAAGGCTTGCTGCTGTTCGAGTTTCATTGGACGCTGATAGTACTTACTAGTGTAGAAAAGGCGCTGCACATGCGAACCTGTTTTCCAGTGGACAAGTGAAATGGCACAATTCTGAGATTAGCAGCCACAGTGTACCACTTTAACTTTCGGCTCCAATGTTGTATGTAACTGCAAGTGGGCACAATAGTAACTTCATATAATCTTGCACTTGCTAGTGGTAGGTGCAGTAAGCAATCATTTTTTGTTAGTTGTCGCAAGTGAAAACAACCCAACTGTAAAATGTGTGAAGAGCAGCTTCTGTGGCTACACTGTCTTGCCTCTTAATTGTAAAGCAGAGTATAGGCCAACGACAAGCTATCCTAAAGGATTTCTCACCTCAGCCAGTCAGTCACTTACCACTGAGCCTCTGGCACTCCTGCTTTATGTTTTTCTCTTTTCTTTTTGCATCTTTACATTTGTGTCTCCGTTATTCCTTCAAGTCTAAGTTGTCCTTCCTTGCTGTTTGATATAACAGATTATGGCATTGTGCCGGCTACAAGCTGTACTGGGAAACCGAGCTTCCAGATGTCTTTGGAAGCCTGTATTGCTGCTTAGAAATCGATCCTTCCTGGAGGAGCAGGGTAACATCCTTACTTTGCCACATCACAATCCATTAGTGCTTTACTTAATGAGCTCATCTTGGTTCTCAGATGGTAAACAAAAATAAGTTTATCAAAAATGTCACATGTAGTATATCGGATAACGGCAGTAAGGCAGCATGAGAAACAGATTTTCAACAGTGCTCAGACTGCACTCTGTACATGAAACAGTAACATGTAATATCTGGAAAACTGCAAAATCGAAAAAAAGCTATACGCTTTGACGTCTGTATTTATTGCGGGGCTGTGCTTTCACTTGTATTTCAACTTTTTCTTTTACAAGAGGCTATGTCCTGCCAGACCCAACGCCAAAGCTTTATGTGCTACTGGAAAAGAGCAGTCGCATAGACGAAAATTTGTTTTGAAAATAGAAATGAGGGGGTCTCCTAGCTACACCACTGGGAAGAGGGACATGAGGTCTTAGTATGACAATGGCAGAATGGATTGTCGTCCATTTTAAGAGTATCATGTACAGTCAAGCACATAACTTTACGAATCACGGTCAGGCGCGCTGAATTGCGTGTGTGTCACCTAGCGGTGTGTCATCTACTGTCGACTGGAAGGGTGGAAACAGGGCGTTTTATTATTTACTAGTATGTAAGGTGAGTATGAGCGCCACATTTATATTTCGATACCAGAATACATTAGGTTGATGTCACGTTTGGAGCACGACTGCACCTGATAACAGTTATGCTGAGACTGTTCTCAAGATAAAAGTACATAGCGATGGCTGCCATAGAGCTCGTCATGTTAAAAAGTTGGAGGTGGAAAACATTCATGCCTGGTGGCAAAAAAGTCAGGCCATCGATTAGGGGAGATATGCCTCTTGGACGGGTAACACTGCTGTCGATCGCCACTTTTGTAGCAGAGAAGTTCTTGGGCATGCGCTCGCAGGGTTCATCAACTTTTGTGTTTGACTGTACATGACATTTCGTAAGGGTTTCTAAGGACTATGTCAGATGTTTGTAGAGCAAGCAGACAAGCTCTCGGCTTTTATAGTAGTATGAAACTAGACTTCAATGTAAACTTTTGACAGAAGTCTGTCTGGCTGGGTATGAAACTGGCAGATGATCTAGACTCTAAGCAAAAAAAAAAAACAATTACAATTATAAAAAAAACAATTAGTGCCTCCTATATCTTTTTTTACTGCATTACCTTGTTTTCTATCAAAAGGAGCGAGCCCTCGAAAATTTCTTTGCTTCATTCACTGACAGCATTATGGTGCTCTATACACTCATACCTCGATATAACGAACTTTGGTTATAACTAAGTAAAAATAGTCTTGTAATTGATATAGTGTGAGGAATAAATTTTTATAACAAATTTTCAAACATAACACACCGATTTTCGCGTAATATGTCACTTTGTTATATTGAGGTTTGAGTGTTTTGCCAACGTAGTTCGAGACTTACGGGAAGCTTTTTTTGTCTGTTTTGTAAGTTCCTGCATACGAACATGGTGTGAGTGTTGTTACGAAAACTGGGGAGCTTATAGATTAAACTCCAGCTGTTGTCAGCTGCAAAAGATTATTCTCTTGAATGTATCTTTCTGCTCCTACTACGCACTGTCTAAGCTCTGCCACTTCTGAATTGCACATTATATCTCCATCACAAAATGTTCCTTTCAGCATGTCTGCTATTTTGTTCAACCTCCAGAAGCAATACTCTTGTACAAGAAACAGTCAGATTAAATGTTGTGACGGGAAGACCATTCGTGAATCCTGAATATGCTAAAACATCGCATCAGGAGACAAAAGGTTCGTGCATGAATCCAGTTTTCAAGGGAGAAGAAAAGACTTGTTTATTTATTCTGGCTATTCTTAAACTATTGCAAAATATTGTGGTCCTGTCAACATTTATTTGTGCGAACTTTGTTCTGAATGAGAAAATTGCATACCTCACAAAATGAATTTACACATTATATAGAATGTTTATATCAATGAGACTAGCATATTTTACTTCTTGAAAGCTTGTTATTCTTTTATTAAAATTGTCAATACACATTTTTCTTGATCTGCAATATTTACAGAATACCAATTGGTTGTATGAAGAAGCTTAAGAGACCATAGCCAACAAAGGGTGTAAGACCGTGATTGCACTGGCTGTGTATTCAGGGATCAAATACAGCTTCTGTGGACTTTCTGTGGCCTTTTTCAACTGATATGTTCTGGAAAAGCATGGATTTAATTTATCTGTGAACAAACTAATAAGTAGTGTTTCATATTGCCACCTACTTCTAGTAGTGGGTCGTATGCCAAGGTGAAGGCTCACACCACAGAGAAGAAAGAAGTGCGCGTGGGCCCCCCCCTGCTCTGGCAAGCAAGCCCAACCGACGCGCTTGGTTAGAGCCCTGTTGCTCAGACGTCAATAAATCTTGCCGACACCCCCTGAAGCGACGTGACAATATAGTACTAGCAGGCATAAATAAAGCTTTAATGTCATGCTTTCTGTAACCACCAATAATAAAATTGACAATATGTGAGTGGACTAAGGAAACATTTAATACAGCAACTATGTGTGTCAACTTTTTATTCTCCTGAGCTTTTTTCAGTCATTGCTGACAACAAGCACAGTGCTACATTGCCGCAGTTTTCGTCTGTATTTACAAATCTAGTTGAATGTCCCTCTTTTGACTTAGCAGTAGTAGGACACATTGACAGAATCTCGGAATAAACTCATAAGGACTAGGCATAGAATTTAGAAACACTTTACAACTACGAACGGTACATAACTAGCACAACTTTTGTGTTCAATACAGTCAAATTTGCCCGTTTTGTTTTGCATTAGCCGTTACCAGACAGAAAGTTCACATATAATAGGTTCAACTGCAATGCTGTGCGGTAACGTATAATTATTTACCATTAATGGCTGTTCTATGTTTAGCATTTACAGAACAGATCATATGGTTTTAAACCTTTTGCAATTGTCGCATTGATGGCACATCACTTAAGACCTTGGCAGTCATTATTCATGAATCGCTATGGTTAGAGTGAGTCCTATTAATTTTGCCTGTGGTCAGTCTAATGATCTAATTAACAAAGTGGGGAAGTGCTTGATGCAGTTTAGCAGACCATTTCATGTTAGTATATCTTTCTTGCTCAATACTTATTGTATACAACATTTAATAATTCTGCTATGAATTATGGCCTTAAACCTCTGAGTGATTATAATAGCTACTAGTGAAAAAAGGTAACCTGAATAACTTATGCACCTGACAGCATAAATTCTAAGCTACAGCTTTGTCTTCTTTTCAAGTGTGTAGAGTACATTTGTAATATCTTGCTTCTTTTTGTTTCTTACTTTAGCAGGTTATAGCACAAGTCATTACGAGGATGCTGCTTCGTTGGATAAGTTGAGTAAGTCTTTAAAAAGAAGCTTGTTTTCTTTACTGTATGGTAGAACTATTACTAAGCTACTGCTAAGACACCCTGTATCATTAGAGACATTGAGGGGCTGGGTCTTGTGTTACTGATGAGGGGCCGTAATGGGGATATCTTTTGTCGGGTCATTAGCCCAGCAAACTTCGGTTTCACTGGTCACCCATTTAAAGATCTGTTTGCAAAGCAATTATGTCCATGCTAACCTCACTGAGGAGGAGTGAAAGGCAAGCTTCATATAAAAGGGCTCAACATTTGCATTGGGGCTGCATACTGCATTGTGGTGACGACCAAAGGAACAGGCTTTCTTCGCAATGGCTGATGGAGGTGAAACTCTGCATGTACCACTTTCATCAGACCCTTGTCTGATTCTGTATTTCTGACATGTCACTTTCAAGGGTATAGCTTCAAGTATGCATCTGCTGATTCGTGAGTAAACAAAGTGCCTAGAACTCTATAGAGATGTTGAAGTGGACATTATGTGACATTGAAATGAGCATATAGCTGACTAAGTAGCAATATAGGTCCATATTGAGTAAAGTTGTGGTTTAGTAAGCTTTTGTAAAGAATGTTTGCACATATTGATTGAAAGTAATTTTGCTAATTGTAAAGCAAATTTGAAGTATGGCTTGTTTCAAGTGTTAGCTGCAAACCATATCATGTGCAGGCAACTTCAACTGCCAAGTATCTTAAGTTCCTTCCACGACTCACTAGGTTTCATTTTTGGGTAAACGTGCTCTAAATTTTTTATTTCTTGGTTCAGAACAGGGGTGCTCAAAGCATTTAAGGAGTGATCAAGGTCCTTTAACAATTTTGTACCTAATTGTGCAAAAATTTCTAGTTTTTAACTCAACTCTGCTCATTTATCTTATATCAATCAAATGTTACTATTCATTAGAGCCTGAAGCAGCAAACTTTTATGAGAGCTTATGATGCCCAACTATGCATTGCAGGTTGTGACTATGAGGAAGTCAAGGACCTACTGGAGAAAGGGAAAGCCTTCTTTGTCGATGTGAGGGAGCTGAAAGAACTTGTCAATGATGGGCGCATACCAGGTTGCGTCAACATTCCATGTGAGTGCTATAGTTCGTTAGTAACATTCTAATCTTGATACAGTTGTACCTGTGTGCACATGTGAATTACATGTGTGGATTACTAAGCCTATTTGCATCTTTTTAGTGGTTATAATAATAAAATTTCAAAACTGGGAGCTTATAAAAATCGGCACAGTTGCTAGGAGTCCACTGAGATATGGAAAGCACAGATTTAGACATCTTGTGGCATTGGCTCTTTATTAAAGTGTATTGTGCTCAGTGACGTCTGGTGTTGTTGATAGCTGTGAGGATGTAACCAATTTCAATCATCATGTTTGTGCAATCTTTGCATAAGTTAATGGGGCATGGTCTTCGTATTTCATGCATCTTGTGTGGAATAAACAAAGGATATTCAGTTGTTCTGCACTAAGTAAACCTCTGTGTTGTGTCTTTTAATTGGCTAGTGAATGAAGTCGGTGCTGCCTTGGAGCTACCACCAGAGAAGTTCAAGGAAAAGTATGGTCGTGACAAGCCTTCTCCAGATGATCCCAACGTTATTTTTTCCTGCCGAAAAGGTGTTCGTGCTACGAGTGCCATGCAGACTGCTCATGCCAGAGGATACCATGCGTAAGCTTATTTGAGTTTTCTGGGCTCTTCACCCTCAGAAATTAGTCATCACAGTTAAAAGGACACTAAAGTAAAATAAAGAGTCAGTTTAGATTGATAAATTGTGCTCTGAGAACTGTAATGTCATCAGTTTCACAATCATAGGCTTACTAATAGAGGAAAAAGTCGACTCGTGATTTTGATCAATTTCAAGTTGCGTTTTTGGTATTTTGGTGACATTGGCTGAGTGAAACGCCTTGAAACTTGGTATTTTAAGTTTGTGGCCCCATCAGAGGATAATGTGCCTATTGTTACTGATTAGGTACTATGCATTAGCTAGTAGGTATCATCTAAATCTGCGACATCGTGGGATTTGGTGCGTAAACTTCAAGGTGGTGTCGCTAATGATATGATTGTGACGTCATCCCAAGTTCTAAAACTGGCCCTCAGTTGTAAATGTTTGGCTTCTCCGCAATGGTACTTTATGGGTGGAGAAGCCCACTTTAACATCTAAAGTACTTTGCGTTGGAGAGTAGTTTCGTTACTTTGTGATTGGGGCATTCAGCAGTGGCTTTGCTTCTTTCATGTGTAGAGAGAATAGCACTGAAAACCTCACTTTGACATTAACTAGGGCGCATCCTTTGGCTGCTCGCACTGATTTACATAGCACTAATGAAATGTTTTGTCGCTCTCGTTATCCTAAGGGTATGATGTGCAACATCCTTTTAATCGTATTTTGGTGCACTCTCAGTTGTAGTTTTCTCGAACTGTGATAATGCAATTAATCAGATATTCTACTGTGAAAATATTGCTTATTTCAACTAACATCTGTTCACCGTATGTCTCACAGTGCCCGGTTCTACAGAGGCAGCTTCTGTGACTGGGAGCAACGTGGAGGAGAGGTGATCAAGGGATGAATGCTGCCGTATTCAATTAAGTCTCTTGGAGGAATAGCTAGCAGAATTGATAGTTTACAAAATTATTTTGGCTTTTAGACTGAGTAGTGTGGCCATTTCCTTAAATGCATGCTGCCTCAGAGAATTAAGCACAACTATATATGTCCACTTGGGCTTTGGTACTGCTAACTGACCTCTAGCGAAATTAATGCTGCCATTAAGTGCGTATATTACAGCACGAGAACCTATTTAATATATAGTCTTTGGTACAATGAAACATAGCCCTATGAAAAATGACCTGCTGTAGATTTAATTGTGGCTTTGTGTCCAATTGTATAACTGCAGATGCCTTAATTTGAGAGAATTCCGAATGCCCCTACTGTACACACTTTCTGTTTAGGCAGCCTGTAGTGCTATATAGCATTTTATAACTTAACAGAAAAGTGCTAATTGAGTCATGAGCAGTGTCGTGTTTCTTGTGACAGCCTACTCATGTTTATGCAAGACACTGAAAGTTATTTGCATGGGAAACTACCTTTGGCTGTGCTATGTACCCTCACCATCTGTCGCACGTAAAAATCAAAGATCATTCACCCTGATTTCTGCAGGTGCAGTATGCAATAAAAGTCTTCAGTTGGTGTCTCTCTGTGTTCATTACTCATTGAAGCTCCAAGCATGAACCCTAAAATAAACGATTTCCTGTTGAAACAGTCTGCTGCATGCCACAATTGTGTGTCAATAAATTATAATGCCTACGAGGTTGAAAGTGTTCTGTTACTGTGGATTCATTAAATATAATATGGTGTGCCTAGAAGCACCCAAGCTCAGCGGTCGAAGGTGGCGCCATCCCCGTGACTTACAATGGCCATGCAGCATCTGCTTGCCTGTTGCTGCCTGCCCCTTTGGCTTATTAGAAATGGCACAGAAGTCCCTAATACAAGGAGCTGCCATGCCTTCAGTAGGTATGACATCGTGCAAGAGTAATGTTCTAAGTTGTATTTGCTCTAAAATACGGAGGCATTCTGAAGAACGAATGTGTTTTATGGGTGCTACATACAAATACAAGGTAGGTATTTTCAATGAGTTAATCTGATAGCTGTGGCTTGAGGTGCCCGGATCATGTTGCAGCGTACTCCAAGAGTGACAGCGTAAGCAAATATGACCAGTGCGTCTGGTCTGCGGAGACAACCGACATCGCTGGTACCAGCATTCCAGCTGTGTTTCAAGCCCAAGTTCGCGAGCATCATGTTATGTTATCGCGTGAATCACCCTCAGGTGATGTTATCTTTTTTTTTTTTTTTTTGACCAGCGCAACAAAGGAATCTTTGAGGCATTGTCGGGGTCCTATGACGCCACCACTGTCGCCTGATGCAGCGCACAACAGGATATATCAACAAACGCTTCTTAGAGGAGTCGCAACATGAAGTTGTGGGCGTGGGCGCTGGTTGCACAGGCCAACCGCCCCATGCGAGATCGTTGCAAGCTCATAGAAGCGCCTTCTGTAAGGCTGTCTTCTGTACATTAAGCATAATTGTGAAAAAAAGCCAACTTTACAAATATTTGCAAGCAATTAAGCGTGTAGTGTAAGCACCTACATGTATTTTATCGAATACGCTGCTGCGAAAAATGGTAAATGTAGCCATTGTAGTTGTGAAGAAACTATGAACGCAGCAGTGCGACAATATCTTGGTATGAGGTGCCAGCGCTGATGGCGAGGCTCTGAACGATAAGCACGTACACAAATGAACATAGGCGGGGTCAGTCGAGTTCGAACCTAAAGAAAAAGTAGGGATTATTTTAGATATCGTTTTCCTTTCTTCTTTCATTTTCCATTGCCTCGCACGAAGCTGGAGTGGAATCCGCTGCGCAATGATGCAAACTTGATGGGAAATGAATAGGACACTGCGTCAAGAGTGATCCCCTCGCTTATCGAGACGTTCAAACGTAGTATAACGTGGCTTTTCCCCCATCATTTCTTTATGCGAACGCACCTGCTCAAGGCATTTCCTTTTGCTTACTAAGTGCAAGTAAAATCGAGCGTATTTTATGTTTTAAAAAGAAGGAAAAGAGGCAGTTTTGCACTAGTGATGCCAAGCCTGAAGGGAGTGTGGAGGTAGGCAGTATTTGTTTCTCCTCAGCGTTATTTTTATTGTTAAGTTCTATTTTTCTCCCTACTTTTTCATTTCTATTTATTTATATTTCCGCTTGCTTCCTTTTTCTTTTCTATTTCTATTCTATTTCGAAGCCCCTAAAGTGCTTCGAACTTAATATCGTATGATCAAAACGTTCGAAGAAGGAGAGGTGTTTGGGGAAGTTGGTAGATGTGAGGTCAGGACACATCACCAATATCAGTAGATTGGTTTGCAGGTTCATGTGTGATCCGCAACGCTATACGAACATTGAAAAAAAAAAACATGGTTGATACCTACCTCGTAGAAATTGGTACAACACGAAAGTAAAACGTGCCCTTACAGAATTAGTTGAATGTTTACTGTAAATTGATTGAGAGCTTGCACAGTGTATGTTGGTGATTGGCCCATGTATCACCATTTGACGTGTACGCACCAATGAAGACGTTTGGTGGTGCTAGATCTGAATCCCGACGGCCAACGTCCTTGATCAATGAATAAAGAAACCCCTGTGGTAACTATAGTAGTGAAAGGTCAGGGTGCATTAAGCAAAAGTGGCATGACAGCCAGACGAGCGTCGCTGAATGAAAGCAGAATTTGGGCTAAGGTCGCCACCCGGAGGCATGTTAAAGGGTTATTAAAAACCACGGCCGGACTAGATCTAAAACGCGTCGTGTGTCGTCTGTCTGCAGGCCGGTGGCGTTTTTCCCCGAGCGAGCGTTATAAGCGGGGAACGTGGTGGGGAACGACGTTGGGAAACGACGCGCGTCAGGCGAGGAAGGCGCGCGTCGCAGAGCTATTTTTTGTATGAATGGACGCTATGAGCTTGCGACGCTTGAGCTAAGGACGCCACCTCGCGGGTGTTGACGAAATTTTACTTCTACGACCCACCGAATGGGAAATGAGACGTAGCAATGACGCGTTACAAGAGCTGATAGCGGAGGCCACGGTCATGATGCATTACTTCGCTTGACTGCTCCCAGAGAGCGACACTACCGGGCCTACTAAGAGCACTGTGAGAGGAAAGTGTGACTGAGAGAAAAACATTTATTGAAAGAAGTTTGTGAGTGAAGGTGGGAGGGTCCCTTATTCCAGGAACCCTCTGGCTTGGACAGCCCGCCGGGCTCGAGCTACGAGTTGACGCTGCTTGACCAGGTCCGGCTGGGAGACCGCAGCCTCCCACGCTTCACTGAGGAGGTCTTGGTCCGCATCTGGTACTGCTGCTCGTAGTCTTGGGACGCCTACTTTGCACTGCAGTAGGAGGTGTGCCTGAGTGTCTGCCACATTGCAGTGAGGGCAGATGTAGCTGTGCAACGTTGGCCTCATATGGTGCCATAGTACGCCGTGAGTAAACGTGTTGCTTTGAAGACGCCTGTAGTCAGTGCATTTGTCTTTTGTGAGCTTTGGATGTGGCGGAGGGCATGACCTGCGTTCGAGCCGATAATGTTGCAGTAATGCGTGATACGTTAGTGGTACGAGTTCTCTGTATGTTATAAAAAAAATGGCAGCATATCCACGGAGTGAATTGAATGATGGGGAGTGGGGCGAAGCATTCGTCCTTCCATTCGTTCTTGCTTCTGTCCGTTCCTGTGTACGTCTGTATAACTGTCCATGCGTCCATCCACCCGTCCGTGCCTGCGTCTGTTCGTGCATCCGTCCCTGCGTTCGTCCATGCATCCGCGCCTGCGTCCGTTCATACATCCATCCATGCATCTGTCTGTGTGTTCGTTCGTCCATCTATTCAACACTCCGAGTACCACCTTCGAGTCTTTTCATCATATATTCCCCATATAGAAGCACCGCCATCCAGCGCACATTTCAAGGACTAAACGGGAGGTGGCACATGCACACTTTCTTACGGCTTGCGCTTCGGGTTTACTTCCCACCTTTAACCACCTCGAGTTCATGGTATATACTAGTTCACTGTATTCATGGCTATGCGGCCCAACGCTCGCTAAGCCTTTCTAAAACCAAGGAGGTTTCACCCAGCGAGTATAACGTAGCAACCCTTTCTTGTCAGATCGTGCTCAATGTACATGCCAATAGCTGCTAATGGGGATCGCAGTGTGCGCGTTACCTAAAGGCCGAATGCTCCTGTCTCTCATTGCCCCTTAGCAGCCATTAACATATGCATTGAGCACTATCTTTTATTGTTCAACAACGCACAGAAGAAATCTCTCACTGAAACCACCTTGGAGGTCAAAATCGTAAGGAACGCTATTTCGGGTACGTGCCACTGGTGGTGACGTACTACGAGGGACGCACAAGCCGCGCCATAAGGAGCTTCGCCCCTAAAAGCGCGTCTGCAAAGCCTCCAGAGTGTGTAACCACAGCGTAGTGGGTAGCGTGCCCAGCATCTGTTTTTGTGGACCAGTTCCTGTTGACAGAGCTTTTCTTCGACATTTGATGACACGCTTTTTCTGACGTCATTTCCGTGCCGGAAATACGTCAGAAAAAGTCAGGGCAGGATAAAAGTCAGGGCAGTCAGGGCAATATTCAGGGCAGGATAAATATATCAGTGTTTTTTTCTTCTTGCGTGGCCTGTTGAATTATTACAAGGGATGATTAACGCTAGCACGTCAGGGGCACCGAGTCATTGTCCCGGGCAAAGGACACTACTCTTGGCCGACAGGTGGCGATGGGGGCAAGGGTGACATAGGCAGCGGAATAATTGGTACATAAAGAAAAGGATAGGACAGAGTCCACACGGGGACAAGCAGTCGCCTTGTGTACACATTCCTTTGTCCCTCTTTTATAGTTCCGCCTGTAATATGTATTCTAGTCAAAACCATCTTGAGGCCGACTTCCAGCTTTCACTCTGTGAATGTGGATGACAAGGGAAGCTGTGTCGCCCATGGCATTGAGTGACATGATTTTAATGAGAAGTTATTTATGTGTTAATTTATTTGTTATAGTCATTTTTATTAATTTCCTAGTTAATTTACTTATTTGTGTCATTTTTCTCGCTTATTTTTAGCAGACTCGCGGTGTGTAGTAGGGCTCACCCAAACCTTGTGGCGCATATTGCTGTGGGTATTCTGTTTGGTTGGTGACCACTCGCAGAGCTAGTAATAGCCTAGCTATGTAAAGTATCACTGTTTAAAAAAAAGAAAAGAAAATTATATGTGTCAGCATCTGGCGTGCGTTTTTGTACGCCTGGAGGCTTTTCGAACACACCCTTCATAACGCTGCCGTCTTCACACGAAAAAAAAAAAAAAACGGCGGTTGTCTTTTCGGTTGCTGCTGTCTACACCTGCACGCAGAGTGAAAAACAACTCCTCATTAGTACCGCTGTCTTCGAACAAAGGAGGCGGAAATGACTGCCACACGTAAAAACAAGGCCGGCCTCGCAAATTGCCTATAGAGCGCATGTCGTCGCAGTGTGTGTGTGTGAGATGCACAGCATATATACGACGAACAAAAAAAGAACGAAAGACAAACGCTATGGTTGGCGAGAAACTTATATATTGAGCCACAAGTTAGCGCCTGTGGATGCGGGCACCGCCAATGAGGC